GGGGGGCCTTGGGCACGGAGTGAGTGGCTGTTTCCATACTGGCAGACCAGGAGCTGCTAACCCAGAAGCGATGCTGCTGGGTTAACACCAGGAAGTCACTTGTCCTAACCCAGAATGAAGGAGAAAAGTCAAGCAGGCTACACAGAATAAGGATTAGGCATGCTGGAGAAAAAAAAAAAAAAAAAAAAAAAAAAAATGCATGTCCTATTTTTGCAGAGAGAAGGGGACTGGATGAAACAAATCCCTAAACGGAGAACAGGGGTTGGGAATCCAGTTGAGTTCTCTCCCCGCTCCCATGCCACTGACATCAGAACAACAGCTCCAGGCACTGAGTATTCATGTGCCATACACGGTGTCAAACTTTGTCAGGCATTACCTCATTTAACCGCAAAAACCCCAAGGGAGGGGTCTATCATCTCCATTCCAAAGACACATAAACTGAGGCTTAAAGAGGTAGGGAAATTAACACTATGTTGCATAGCAGGCCAGTGTGGGTCCAGGACGTGAACCCAAGCCCCCCGAGGTCCAGGGCTTATGCTCTGAACCACCACCCAAGCTTTCCATACCTATCTGAAAATACCTCTTGCCAGGAGACTAGAACACTATCCTGGGAATGTCACAACAGGTCAAACCCAGCAAAATAGGGCAAGTCTGTCCTCTATAGGGTGTGGGGGGGAAGATAAACTCTAACAAGAAACAGAAAAAAAAAATCTGCCTGCCTCCAAAGAAAGCTGGACTCTCTCCCCTTGATGATGTCCTTGATCCCAATGAATGTAAAACACTTCCAAGATACTTGAGGCACAGTGCACAGCAACTATCAATCACGATGCTCCCAACCTACAGACCTACCAATGTGCTGGGTGGGAAAACACAGAACCACATGCCCTCACGGGGAGGGAGAAACTGAAGCTTCTTCTCATGATGCTGAGAAAAGCAAGAGAATCCTGTTGCCTGGGCAGGACCTCCCATAATCCCAGAACCACCAGCACAGAACTCCCCTCTGTCATTACCCAGATCCCAGGGCCAGCAGGTTCCTTCTGTGCCAAATCCTTAGCACAAAGGAAGGTCAGCAGAAACAGAACACAAATTCCATCTTGCAAAGGTATGATGGGTTCTCTCCCATCTCCCCACTCGGCTTATACCACCCGCTTACGCCTTCCTCTTCCTACACACCACCACATAGAAAGATTTTCACTTCACTCTGTCAGCCTTCATCATGACCCGGTCTCTGTGCTCAGAACTAGAAAGACAGCCTTCTTAATTCTCAGCCGAATATGGGTCTAACAGTGGTAGGACACCCCCAAGCTATTCAAAGAAAAACCACCAGAGGAAACGATTTCAAATCTGGCTTTACAAGCATGTGATTTAAAAATAACTCTGCCTTTGTCTGCTACAGATGACTTTCCCTAAAGGGACTGCTGTCCTTAAAGCAATCGCTCAATTCTCGGGGCAAACAGATTCTTATTTTTCCAGTACCCAGGACATACCTCCAGGAGAACACTCCTGGGTACCATCTCTGATAGCATCTGAAAGGCAAACAGCAAAGCGGTCAGGATGACTCCTGCCATCTCGGCTGACCTGGGACCAGACCATCTGGGATGCTGCCCTTCAGATGACAAAGGAGCCCGTGCAGGTGGCTACAGCATCCAGCAACCAGCACTCTGCCTTCATCAAGATGTCAACCAGAAGGCTTAGCCATCACCCCATAGCCACAGGAGGCTCTGACAGATTCCTGAGTTATTTCAGGGAAACTGTATTTCTTTGGATATTTGATTTATTCTTTGATCAGACAGAGGAACAAGGACGAGTGCACAAAGCAGGAAAGGGGGTCGGGGGGCAGTCATGGTGAACAGTAAGAGAATTCATAAGAACGCTCACCTTGCCGTTCCAAGACACTTGGGGTAGACCTAGAAATGCAGTAGTTGTCAGCTCATGGCTTAATTTCCTTTCAACCAGACAGGTGGCCCTAATGACACAAAGCTACTGAGCATAACTCAAAGATGCATGCTGAGCAAATACAGAAAGCAAATGTTCAATAAAATTGTTTTGTAATTACCTCCTGATTCGCTGGACGTCATAGCTTTATCAACTAACAGCGTAGAACTATGCTTTATTAACATGATATTTCTTCTTGGCAACCTAATGCCTCCTGACCTTCTCAAAAGTTTTGCCAGTAAGTGTTATAGGAGGCAAAAAGCATCCGGGTGTATGTGACAGGATGTTGAGTTGTGCCCAGGATAACTACACCAATTTGCTGCCCCAACTGAAAGTTCTCAACAGGGGTGTCCCAGGGGACATGTAGCAGTGACTGGGGGTGGGGGGTGGCGTGTGACTGGCATCTAAGGGACGGGAGCCAAGGATGCTGCGGAACATGCAACAACGCACAGGACACTGGCCCATGGCAAAGACTTACCTGAAACCTCACCAGTGCCAAGGTTGGGAAATCTTGGTCTAGACTGAAATAATATAATTCCCAGAATGCTCAAGGCTACACCTGTGCTCTTGCCTTCTGAGGACTCCCTTTCCTCAAGATCCACTTGGCATGTCTACTCTGGTCACTACTGTGATTACATGGAAAAACCAAGAACTGTCTTCCTTTTCAGTTTTGTTGGTGACATACCATCCATCAAGTCCACATCCCTTAGATTTTTATTTTGCACATAATCTTTATAATGACCAACCCTGTACAAGTTGTTACAGCAGAGTGTCATTGTCTCTATACTTGGTATTTGAAGAAGACCTTTAGGTTTTTTCCCTTCTTGTTAGGAGTATCACTCAGTTTCTAGTTCAAAAAAGAAGATTATTTTGAAGTATGTTTCTGTTACCAAAAAAAAAAAACCCAAAAAACCCAAAAAACAAAAAACAAAACAAAACAAAAACAACAACAAAAACACATTTAAATGAATAACTTATTTCTAGATTCCAGTTCCCCCTTGGATCCTGGTACCTTTCCCCTGTCACCTGACAAAATGATTTCTGTGGAAACTCAGAAGCCCTTTGTTGTGGATTACAAATCTGATTGGGGCATCCCAAGTTTTTGAGTCACTGATTAATTACCGATTCTAACAAACTCTGACAAATGACTTCTAAGAAAGCCTCCAAACTTCAAACCTTAATTCTTGATTGTCAGTAGGAAACAAGATTTGGGGACCCAATGTTCACATGCCTTTTCGGAAAAAATACAATATTTCTAACATGGCACACATCTTGTATTTGGCAGGGGATGGAGAAATACTTGTCAATTGAGTATAAGTGTTAAGGCTGCAACACACCAATCCAATAACTATCGGCCAAAATCTCTTGTTATTTCTCTCCAGAAGGGAGGAAGGTTATCAACTGTTCCTAAGTATCTTAAGAAAGTATTTCAGAACACAGGGTTGAAATCAATGATAAAAATTGATACAGATAATAACAGCGACAACTATTAGTAATCATTTGACTATTTATGTATATTATACATAATTTTCACACTAACCCAATCAAATAAAAATTATATCCTTCAAAGGGAAGGGAAACTGAAGCCCTGAGAGGTAATATCACTTTCTAAAGCTACAAAGTAGTTAAATCTCATTCTATAGAGTAGAGTGACTGAGATACAGGGCGCCTTCTCACTGGGGCTCCAGCCCCTTCTCCCTGGTTTAAACGTTATTTCACTCACTATCTGTTCCTGGAAAGAAACAAAACCATGGCACTATCCATTCCAGGAAACTAGGGCTTGGGGTCACATCAAGGAATGTGTTCCCAAGCTTCTGCAAGCTCCTGGAGTGGTCAGAAGTTAAGACTTAATTCCATTCTAGCCAGTGGCTTTGAGTTATCATTCAAAGTAGGTTTCAGAGCAGGGGGCCAGCACAGAAAGATGTTAAATCCAATATTAATATTTCAAGGCAGGGGTGTTTTCTTCCTCCTTTGCATCATTTCCTTCCATTTTAATCTTGCTCTGCATGTCACAGAAATTCTATGCGAGGTGAAGACACAGAGTTCAGGAATGATCTCAAGCACAAATCCCCCATTGTCCTGCTTTCTGTCTTCCCCTGCAGCAAAGGCCTTCAGCTCAGTGACCTTCCTGACAATTTATCTGGCTGAATCTTTGTTCCTGGTTACCTGTGCACGTGAAACGGTCTTTCTTCCTGTTCATTTTGCACTACAGAGTACTAACAGCATAGAGCCAGGGCTGAGCCACCTCAAACCGTGTCTCTGTCTGAGCACCGAGCCATGGGTTTTGAAGCACTGGACATTTTGGGTGATGTTTCTGTGTAATATTTCAACACCATTTACAGCTGACCTTGTGGGCTTTGATAGACATGGATTCAGTATGACAAACAGGTGAAAATGAAAAAAAAAAAAAATCCGTAAGAACAATCTGGTTTACAGAAATAATAGAGTTCTGGCCCTGAGAAAGGCTAAGCCACACTTACAGTGAGAGGTGCTTGTAGACTCAATTTCTCAATGAGAACACAAGAGGAAAAGGATGAAAAAGTGATCAGCCCCCCACCCCTAACTCACATTTTTTTTTCCCTTCAGACGAGACAGAAATGAACATACGTGAACCACAGCCTTAGAGAGAGCCTACCCGCATCATTCATCAAGGTCCTATATCATGTATTGGGAAAGAGGGGAATGGGAAGGATAGGAGGAGATAGAGAGGTGCCTACATATCCAAACCATTAGCTGTAGGCTGGTGTTTCTTAAACTGCAGCCCGTGGATCAATTGCAACAGAATTGCCCAGGTTCAGAGCACATATTCCTACGCCCTCATCCCAGATCTGAAAAATCAGGATTTCCAGGGGGGGGGAGGCCCATAGAATCTGCATTTAGCCGACTCTCCCGGAGATACGGATGCTCACTGATGTGGGACAATCATGGCTGTGGGTGAAATACAAGATTCCTCTTGCAGAGCCAGCCAAAGTCTCCCTGATCGTGAAGATATTTCTGCCATCCCCATCCCGCCCCTCCCCTGCGCCCTCTTCCCCATCTGAAGGGAGAATCTTTTTAGAATTTACCTGGTCTGATGGGGCTCTGCATACAGTTTGGGGACGGGATGCCAGGGTGAAGGGGTGCAGAAGCCCGACTGCTGAGGTCCATGACGGAGGGGGCGGCAGAGGAAGCCGGCTGCAGCCCAGGAGGGTGAGGGCTGTGGTCATGCTGAGACGGGCTGGGGGGAATGCCATTTTCTGACAAAAACTCCTCCAGGTCCATGTATTCCAACTGGAAAGTATCTCCGTCATAGGGAAGGGTTTTGTCCCATAAGGTGGGTCCCAAGAACGCCGACTGGGGGACCGTCGGGCTATTACTCTCATCATCCAGCTTCTTTTCCTTGTCTTTATCTTTACTAAATGCTGCAGAAATGAGGGAAAGTTGGACTTAACAAAGGGAAAAAAAAAAAAAAACGTGGCTTTTTTTTTTTTTAATCACTCCTCCTGGCCTCTGCTATAAAACACCACCTTCAAACCGTTCTCACAAACCCAGGGGATCTTCGCGGGCTGCTGGCTTTTGTGGATCTAGAGTTAAAAGTTCAGACAGGACATGGATCTCTGCCTGTTTTTCAACATCTTCCTATTTACTTTGGAAAGAAAGCACTAGTCCTTGGGACAGGGTTACAGACTGATCTAGAATATAAACAAAGGAACACAGTTTTCAGTACATTATTGGAGGGGCAAATAATTCAGATCTACAGTGGCAAAGTAACACCTGCAGTTACATACAATTGCTGTGATTTTTAACAAAACAGCCAATAACCAGGCATGGTTTCTCTTCCAGGAAATTCATTACAGTAACAATATGAGGTCATTCAGACTTAGCCAGTGAGCTAGGGATTCTAATTTTGGTAAAGCAGGGACTCTCCACCCTCCTCTGAAACCATGCATTGAGCACATACTATATACCTGCTTCCTTCCATAAATTATGTCCAAAAATCTCACAATAAATCTGCAAATCGCTATTGTCCCCATTTATAATGAAGAAATAGAGGCTCTGAGACTTGAAGGAACTTGACCAATGCCTCACATTGGCAGAGGAGAAAACAGAACTTCCCGAACCCACATATGTTTGCTTTTAAAGCTGCTGGGGCACCTTGCATTTTACAAAAGGAGGTTTTTGTTTTTGTTTTTTAAGTGTTTTCTTCCTCCTCTTCCCCAAAGGCTTAAATACGATTCAATTCACAAAAATTATACATGTATGCAATCTGTCAAAAGAACAGCTATTGGAAAGCTCGTTACATACCTATAAGGGAGGTATGCAGCTATGTCCTACCTGTAAGTACCGCTCACCCCAGGACGTCTTTAAACAGTGCTCTCGATTTTGCCCATTCTAGTACTCAGGCGCGGGTGGAATCTGGGATCAGGGAATCTGGCTTCTGAGTTTCTTCCTCAGAGAAACACAGCCTCCGCTGCCATCCATTCTAATCCTCTAGTCTCATCTCCTGAGAATCTGACTTAAAACACCCACAGATGCAAAAGACTGCAGGCAGCACCTTCCTCCCAAGTGCTACTCCTTAAAGGAGAGTTAAGAGGGAAGCTGCTTTGCAGACGGCGAACCAAACCCCTCAACTCTTGCAATGCAACAGGTTGCCCCCTGCTAGGAGAGAAGATGCGAGTACTCCCAAGCTCTTTGTAACCAAATGATCTTTCAAGACTTTTTTTACACTAGAAGCCGCACCATTTGCATTTGCAACTGTGATATCTAAGGCATGAAACCGCATCAGCCCAACTGACAAATCCCTTGGCGGCACCAGCTCAGTTCCGCGCCTCCTCGCCCGACCCCTCCTCTCCCGCTCCAGCCAAGGTTGCCTGGGGAGGTTTGGGACTTACCAAGAAAGGGCTCAAGCCAGAGGAGGCTCCTGCGCGATTACACGTGAGCCTGCTCCGCTCTCCCCTCCCACCAGGAAAAGTGCACGGGGAAAGTGTCAGAGCTGGAGGCGTGCACAGCTTCCCGCCCGGAGACCACTCCCCCTCCCCCGCCAGCCCCAGCCCCCACCCCCC